CATTATTCCCCTCATATACTGTATATTCCCATGAAGTTAGGAATTTGATGACTTGATACAAGCTGGAGGGGATGGCTCTCATGTTGTATATCCATGGTTGCCCTATTATGGCGTTGTGTATTGCGTCTTGGTTCATGATATGGAATGTGGAGCGTGATCTCGCCGGATGTTCACTCAACTGCATTGTTAAAACCCGTTTGTGTGATGCAGCGCGACACTATCTTATCCTCGAGTTTCATTTGTGCAAGTACTCGAGGGTGGATAGTGCACGTGCCGCTTGCATCGTCTATCATAATGCGTCTCACATCGGTATCTAAAATTCATAAAGTGATAACAAGGGCATCATAGTGAGGGAAAGCCAAATCGTTGGCATCCGACTTATCGAAGATGATACTTTCTTCGAGTTCGTCATATCGTTCATGGGTGATTGACCATTTGAGCTTGTGGGTTGTGGTGAATTTCACATTGTTGATAGAGGCATCGTCGCTATTGCCAATGATCATGTGGATGGTGCGGGTTGGCGAGGGCGGTTCCGACGGTCCTTGATGTTGTTCACGTCCTCTGGCAAAATTGGTTCTTCCGTGGTCGCTCAGCAACTCTTTGAGGTGTCCCTGTCATAGCATGTTTACGACCTCCTACCTCAGAGCGATGCAATATTCAATTTTGTGTCCTCTCTCTTAGTGGAATTCACACAGGGCATCTGATTTTCTGGTATTTGGGTCTGACCTCATCATTTGCGGCCACTTCACCTTAGGTCCGAGCTTCTCCAAGGCGTAGACTATTTCTATAGATGATACAGAAAAAATGTGAGCAGGTAACAAATGAGGCGTACCTCTTTCTTTCTGGTGAGTCCCTGTCCTTGATCTGGGTGGTCCCTCTTCATGGCGGGAGGAAGGCACAATGGCGCTTCTGACATATGGTAGATGTCATTCCCGGTTGGGTCATGGAGCTACTAGGTCCCTCCTGATATCATTTATTTGATCTTTTCTGTGTTCGGCTTGTACTGAGGTCAATCGATGAGTCGGACCATTGAGGTCGTCCTCGTCTGTCGAACCTCGGCACAATATGCGTTGTGTATTTCATCTCAAGTAGTTGGGGGGTATTTTATAAGCTGACATAATAAGTTTCTAGTTGCCCTTGAACCGTTTCTGCTCAGCCCGTTCTGCAAAGCTGCAACCGGCATCCCTTCCGACACATTCGGCAAGGTCATCCTTACTCGGTTAAAATAGGCGAGGAAGTCTCTCAATCCTTCTCCCGGATACTGTTTGATGGCAAATATGTCATTTACTCTTGCTTCAGCCTTTTTGGGCCCAGCATGGGCCGTTACGAACTTGTCGGCCATCTCTTCGAAGGTCTCAATGGAACGCACAGGCAATTGTGAATACCATGTTAATGCACCTCCCATGAGGGTTTTGCCAAATTTCTTCCACAAGATGGAGGATACTTGTTCCTTGGCGAGGTCATTGTCTTTCAAGGCGGTGAGATAATGAGTTACATGGTCTTCGGGATCGGTCATACCATCATATATTTTCAGGTACGGCAGTATCTTAAAGGTTTTTGGTATGGCATGCGCGGTGGTGTCATCACTGTATGGCTGCTCGACGAACCGACCAACATCTCTTTTTGGCAAGAGCTTTGGGGCACCCGGTATCTTATCGACCCTTTCTTGTTGCTCTCTCATTTGGTCTCGAAGTACTTTATTCTCGTTCTCCATTTCCTCCATCCTTTTCAAAATGGCGGCGAAGGTGTCGTCACCTGTACTATTAACAATGTTATGAGTGATACCTGTCGTTGGAGGAGGGAACTGGTCGCTCTGCTTGTATGCTAGTGGTATAACGCAAGTCCTTGCATTTTCTGCAACCGTATCCTGAGTTGGTTTATGGAGAATGCTGGTTAGCGTGTCAGTTAGCCAAGCCTCGAGGAATTTTTTTGCTACTGGTGGCGTCCCTTCTAACACGGACGTGGAAGCTCCTTTACCGAGAGATTTTGTGATGCTACAGTGAGGAGGGGGTGATCCGCCTCGCTTGGGGGAGGCGTTGGGCGTTGTATCCTCGTCCTCTGCTTCAGAAATTAAATTGATGGTGTTCAAGAGGTTGGTTGTGAGGTCGCCCATTATCTTCGTTCTTTCTTCTCTGTTACCTGCCATATTAGATCCGTGCATACAAAGAAAGGAGATCCTGTTCTAGGTTTTTTTTTTTTTTTTTTTACGTTTGCAATCCACGTTAGTTATAGATCTAGAGGAAACTAAAAATTTAACTAGAAAATTCCCACAGACGGCGCCAAATTGTTTGACCAAAAAGTATAAACTTGCGGTTAAACTATTATATTCGATGCAATGGAGGGCCAAACTTAGTTAATATCTCTAGATATGGATCTTGAAAACATGGATAATGTAAGACAGTGTCAGTGGGAGAATGAAAATAATACACGTTTAATATCCAAAAGGTATGGACACACCCAATAATGAATGAGGTAGATGATTGTTCTTCCTGACAATGATGTGTGACAAACAAATCCTAAAATGTTCGAACTATTCTCGGATCTGATGGAAAAGTACGGAATAATGTGAGTAAGAATATTGACGAAAAGGTGAAGTTTGTATCTTTGCTAGAGAGAGAGAATCTTCTTCTGAAAAGTGCTCTTCTCAAGTGAATATTACATGCGCTATGCCGTTATCTCTTTTTCTATTTATACAAGACATGTCTCTAACAAACATTAATAGTACAAGTGCAGATAATATTCTCTTTAATATCCTATTTCAAACACTAGCAGTTACTGTTCTTTACACAATGCTAGACCTCGGTCATGGCTGACATCTCGGCCATGAATGTTGTTGCTTTCTGGTCGACCTCGACCGGCTCTTTCCTTAATGTCATATTACGCTAAATATCCTTAAGGCGGATTTTGACCTATACAAGTACTACATTAATTAGAAATCCAAATTATGTTTACCAAAATCAGAGGTCAAATTATGGTGGATCATTTGTAATTCTGTTTCATAGTTTGTCAGTAATGAGCTGTGAAACCAATGATTATCATGCAAGGAAAAATTAAAACAACACAGTATTTTGTGGCAGAATAAAAATGAACAAATAGACAAAAAAAAAAAGATCGTAGAAGTCCTACTCCTACATGAATCTGCGCAGTTACTAAGGTTAAAAATCCTTTATAAAAAGAATTACTGTAGAAGAGTATAATTCAAATTTAACGGCATAATCCAACGAAACAATGTATCTTTAAAATTAATGTATCTGGCCACGTTTCAAGCTATGTTTCTATAACAGTCTCACTATTCGTACGGTGAAAAGTACCACAGTGAAATTTAGAAAGATAAGTGGTCACTGAATTCCATGATTAGAAGAAGGTATGTATCCAATTCAATGACCCAACTTTCAAATACTTTTTCCTTTCAGTTTCTTTGAAACAGTCAAATAGTTTGAGGCTCTTTACTTTCACACGGCATATCAGTATAATCAGTTGCAAAAACTAGCCACGTAGAATTCTAATTTATGGAGTTACAAAAATCAAACTATATTCTAATCACCAAACTTCTTGCATAAAATTTTAATGAATAACTCAAGAATTATTCAACAATTAGATATGATTAATCCATTAAGGCTATCGCAACATTGGCAGTCTAATAGTAATATGGTGCAGGATACACCATTTTCCGTGCTAAATGTACCTATGTGTGACACCTAGATTTTCTTTTTAAAGTTCAAATACCAAACTTCCTTAAGAAGCGGATTTCAAATTATTTACTTGGTCTTACTAAACATAATCCCAAACTAATTAAAAGTGTGTTTAACTTTTGAATTTTCTCGTCATCATATAGCTCCCTATAGCTGCCACCTTCACTTTCATTTTAATCCTCCCTACTTCAACAACAAGGGAATAAGTTTATACTTTTTTAGTCCATTTCACAATCTCGACATACATAGGATACAGAATATCTGAGTCAAAGGTTAATCATTCTCTCGACTAATTTTGGAAAATGACTAAAGGTGAAACAGGCCGGCCAGCTTGCGCTGCATGCAAATACCAAAGAAGAAAATGTTCTCAACAATGTGTGTTAGCTTCATATTTCCCAGCAGATCAGCCCAAGAAGTTTCAAAATGCACATCGTCTTTTCGGGGTCCGTAACATTGTGAAAACACTCGAGCAATTGGATGGTGACGATCAAAAGGCAGATGCAATGAAATCCATCATTTTCGAGTCCGATATGAGGGAGAAGTTCCCCATCTATGGTTGTGTTGAGTGTATTCTTTATCTTCGCCAACAGTTACAGCTTGCCTTACAAGAACGTGAGTATGTATATACTCAGCTTGCTATTTATAGGCAACAACATTTACGACTTTCGTCTAGTGAAAATAATTCTGTTGGTAATGGGATCATGACGGCACCATTCTTCTCTAGTGATAGTGAATCCAGTCAAGGAATCATATATCCTGATTTTGATAAACATAATTCATTGGCATATCCAACTTCCAATCATGTATTTAGATTGGGGAGTCAAGAACAGCAAGAAGTCTCTCGAGATATTGAGAGTCTAACCCTTTTCAACAGTAGTCTGGTCGATGATAAGTAATCTTTTGTTGACACCAAAGAAAATTTTATTTTGTTTCCTTTAATTAATGTTTATGGTTATTCCAATTGTTTAACTGTGTGTGAAAGATTCAGATTTTAGACCTATGAATAAAGATTGACTCATTCAATATTTTGCTAATATTTTCTTTCTCTTTTCTTAATTCCTATAGTACATGGAGATAAGCATTGCCTATATTTACTGCGAATTGAATCTGTTTTCTTATCCTAATTTGAAAAAATTCAAATATTATTTTCTCTATAATATAATGCCACAATTAATCCGACATGAACTACTCTATGAATTTGCGGCGAATTAGAGAATAAACTCAGTGATGGCACTGTCATCTGATCCGATCATTGTTAAACAGTCACAACAGTATCTTAATGCATATCATTACAAACACAGTAAATCATATAGCAAAAATCAATATATAAAAATATCTACAGCTGTTACAATTGCATCATGTCGAGTTAAGATCCCATAGTTCCTCTGTAAGTCATGCGATTAACAATTCGAGATGCATCATTCACTCTGTTTGCTTTTTCATAAATGCCAGCAACAACTAGATGCAACTCTTTCTTGTTAACATTAGGATTAGAGTCCAGTTTCTCATACAGTGTCTCAATCATCTCAAAATTCTTTCGAGCACCATAAAGACTTAGCATTTGAAAGTGAACTTCATCCGAGAAAACACATCCCTCTTCCTGCATCTCTTTATATACCATGTCTGCCTTTTCAAACTCTCGCAACTTCCCATAAGCATTAAGGACTAGAGCAATCACATTAGAATTTGGAAAATATCCTGCTCCTCTCATCTTCTCAAATACCTCAATGAGATTAGTGTACTTCCTATTTCTGGAATACAAATCGATCATACACTCAAAAACTGCAATATCCTTCAACTCTCCAGCATCAAAAGCTTGTCTGAACACCCATGTAGCTTCCTCTATTCGTCCAGATCTAGCAAGAATCGTTATTGCAGTTTCTCTAGGAATATTGTCAGGCCGCTTCAACTCATGCAACAAACGTTTAGCATGTGCAACCAAACCAGCTCTCTCATATGCTACAATCATTGTCTGGTACAGAACCTGATCAATTTCAACTCCAGAACTCCGCAGCTTCTGGAATAACATAGCTGCTCGATCTAGTTTTCCAACTTTACCCCATATAGATATAATGGTCGAGTACGTAATGGCATTGGGCTCAATTCCTCTGTTCTGCATTTCTTGAATAAGATTGTTAGCTTTCTCATGTTCCAGTGTCTTACCATAAATCTTAATCATCGTGTTGTAAGTGACAACATTTTGTTCAATACTTTTCCTCTGCATCAATCGAAACAAATGTATAGCTTCCCCGAAAAGCTCAGCCTCACCATAAACCCTCAGAAGAGTATTGTAGCTGACCACGTTTGGTTCAATTCCCATTTTTCTCATGCTCCAAAACAACCTATCTGCCTCTTTGGCCATATCAAGTTGTCCATAGACATCAATCATTATATTACAAGTTGTGAGATCAAGAGGGCATTTCACCTCATTCATCTCTGAAAATACGGATAGAGCCTCCAAAAACTTTTGGTTCTCAACATACATAGTCAAGAGAGTTGAGTAACTCACTGTGTCCGGCATAACACCTGCTGACCTCATCTCTTTGACCAACAATCGAGCTTCGCGAAATAGCTTTGCTTTTCCAAACACATTAATCATGGTATTGTAAGCAACAAGATCAGGAGTAATCCCTGATGTTTTCAGTCTTGAAAAAATCGAAATTGCCTTGGAATAATCACACAGCTTTCTTGACAATTCAATCAAATTACTGTACAGAACAAGATCACCCGAAACATGATCCTGTTCCATCTTCTGAAGCCAAGATAAAGCATCATCAAACAAACCCTCTTTGCCAAAATGGGTAATGAGAGTAGAATAAGTGTACCTATCAGGTGACAAAGCTCTCTGACGCATTTCATCAAACAGCCCGTAGGCAAGCCGCCACTGCTTCGCCCGTAGTACATTACGCAATGCAACATTGTACGCGAACACAGACGGAGTGTAAAGAGCTACTTCATTGATCCAATCAAGCAATGCTAACGACCGCTGCCAGTCAGACTCACGTGAGAGGAGCGTCACCATGAAACGCATTGAAAGATTTCGATTTTGGTAAGGCGACATTAAAGCAAACAGCTCGTGCTCGTTAGTTGTCTGTCCAATGGATAACAATAAATCATCCATGTCAACGCTGTGGTCCAGGTGCGATGATTGCTGTCTCCGGCGGTACGGTCGGTGGTGGGGAGAGGAAAACGGCTGCGTTTTAAGCGATGATGGCGTTGCTGTTGTTGTCTTTCGCCAGACATCTTTATTTGAGGAAGTGGCGGAGAGCGAAACGACAATGAAATGGTTTCGGAGTGGCTTACGTTTCGTGTAGTGTACGAGGATAGTGATTCGATGTTGAGATAGTGGAGATGATGGAATGCTGTAAGTGGAAGCAGAAGCGGAGAGCAAAAGTGTGGACATGGCACCGTTCAAGGGGGAACATGGGTCCAACTCCAACCATTTACTATGCTTTGAGGAAAAAGAATTACTATCTTACAACAGTGCTCCTCGAGCGTCCCTTACAGCTTGTAAGCTTGGATGGTTGTTACTTATTGTTTAATAAAGTATCGTATCGTATTGTATTATGTTATATTATATTTATATACGATTAATATTGGGCTTGTCCTTTTTTGTGCGACTCATCGAGGCTGGAGCATGATAAGTCAAGGATCGGCTTCAATTTATATGGTGCAGAGTTAGGTTGTCAAGCTCGAGACCCTCACCGATCAAAACCGAGACCGACCAAGATCAAGACTGAATAAGTTGGAGTTCGAGGGAAGCTTACGGGGTCGAATAACGGAAAGACGAAATATCCGCAATCGGGCAAAGATCACGGCGCAACTCCCGGCACGTATCAAGAAGCGGCCGATTAATTAGCCAATTATGAGATTTCTTACTGCACCAAGAGCAGCACTTCCCTACTATGTAAAGGGGGTCTGATCATTTGTAAAGGACATCACATTCACGTTACATAAAGCAATATACTACTACTTTCTTGAGCTCTCAATATTTTTGTTACTTTGTTCATACTTCCCGGCGAATTATTCACTCGATTGAGGGCAACCTAGCTCAAGGATCAAAGCTATACATTTCATTTGGTTTGCTTTATTTATATTTGCAGTTAATTTCAATATCGATTTACGTTTTCTCTCAATTTGTACTAAGTAAATCACGTATCCTTAAAACCACAGTATAAATTCAATTGTTATCCGTTTTTAGGGTAAACAATATCATTTGATGAATATAATTTTTTAATAGATTGTATTGTTTGCCATCGTTATATAATATCACGCACCAACGATATGAAAAATAAACTTGTAATATTATTACAATAAATATATAATACGAGGTAAAATTATTATATAAAAATATATGGGAAAAGATAAAATTGGACTATTTATTAATTATGAAGGGCAAGATGAGAGAAAAATAAGGTAACGACACGACCACGCCAAATCCAGCGGCGGTCCGACGAGTTTTGTGGCCTAAAGCCAAACTTTATGAGGGGCCTTAACTTTTATTTTTTTTAAAAAAAATTATTTACTTATTTGAAGTCTATTTTTCTAGCGTTTTTTAGATATAAAGTTATTAATAATTTTCTTATAATCAATAACTTCTAATAAGTCTTTCTTAATTGACAATATAGCTAATTCATTTAATTTTTGTTCAGACACCGTTGATCTTAGGAGAGATTTTATCAATTTTAATTTTGAAAATTTCTTTCCGCTGAAACGACGGAAACAAGATCAATTAACACTATTCCATAAGTAATATAGGCACTGGAGAAAGAATCAATTTTTTTAATTTGATCGAGTGTATCAATTAAACTGTTATCTTCTAATTGTACTATTTTTCATAATATTTTTAATTGAAATCTAAACCATCAATATCGAATTGATTATTATACTTTAAGAAACATTCAAGATTAAGGCAATATTTTTTCAAATTTTCATCATCTAGTGATCTTAATTTATACCACTAAATAGAAAATCAAAAATATTTTCATATGCTTCGAATTGTTCAATTATATTTTGAAGTGAAAAAAATAGCTTTGTCTACTATGTATATAGTAATCAACTCCAAAGAACTCTTTGAAAGATTTTGAGATTTTATTATCAATATTCTCATCAAATTGTTATTTCCTATATATTATACGTTTCTTACGAAATTCGGGTTCAATATTCATTTAAAGTGTAATTTTCTTGGAAGAAACCATAGCAGTTGCAAATCCTTCTTCTCTATACTTGTTAAAAAAACAAAATCAAACTTTTTCACTTCGCAGAACTTTTTTTTAAACTTATACATAGCCTATTAGGTGTAACAAAAAATGGAACCCCATAAAATGTGGGGCCTAAAGCAGTTGCTTTACTTGCTTTATGGAAGGGTCGCCCCTAGCCAAATCGGTCATTACATAAGGTGACACTTTTCATCATTACGTAACGACGAATTTAACAATACCATACAATAAAGTTTAAGTAACAACCAAATTAAACATTGTATTTAAAATAACAATACAATACGATACAATAGGTAGCAACCATCCAAACAAGTTGTTAGGGACATCCGATTAAAAAAAAAAGGAGCTAATTTGCATGTATCTCAATAATCATTATTCCATATCAACACAAGTAATCTGCTCACATGGCTACGACTATCTTTTCTGTAGATCCTTACTGAACATGTATAACTAATGTTTAAACAAATTCAATTAGACCAGAGTGTGTCCGTATTAAGGCGTGACAATCCACATCTTGTTTTGTTGGTTGATTGGGTCCATTCAGATGCCAATAATAACCATAGAGAATAACTGCAATTAGCATAACCATACTGTATAGGTCCAAATTTGGCGATTCTGTAGTAACGGATAAGTAAGACAAAGGACGGGATGGTAGGTTGCTCTCACAAAGGCTGGTGTCAAAAGCGGGCAGCCGAGGTGAGAAAATAACGGTAGAATAGGTTTAGAGGTAGACATAAAGAATATTCCTTTGGATATTCTTTATGTTGTACTTTTTAGGGTTTTTTGGGAATATCCTTTATAAATAGGAAGAGATAAAAAATAAAAAGGGGATCTTCTTCACTTTCTGATAAGAACACATTGTAAAGGCTGACAAAAGAGAATATCCAAAAGTTGTCTTGTTCGTTGATAATATTATTGAAGCGCACGTTGTTCAATCTTGATCCATAGATCCAAATATTCCACACCCATCTTGACTTCTCACTTTTCCACGTCGCTGACAAAGAAAAGGAGGGGCATACGCAGGAATTTTTGTAAGCGGTGTCGAAATTTATAAAAAAAAACTGAAATATAACTTTGATTGTCATACTTTTAGACAAGAAATAGTCTTAATCTATTGATTTTGTTGAGTCTTAAGCAAATATTTACAAAAGAAAATTGTCTTAGTTGAGGTTTGAACATTTGACCTCCTAGAGAAAAATCAAGCACATTACCAACACACTAACACACAATTTATGTTAAGTGGTGTCATTTTTTCCTACTTAACAGTTTCCGTACAGTATTAATACATATATTTAGTAAAAATTTCCGACGAGACACCGCTTCGATAAGCGTAAATCCGCCCCTGGAGAAAAGGGAACATCCCAATCATATAAGGGAATCTTACAGAAATGTCCCAAAAAAGTCCCAACTTACCAACCTCTAGCCATTAATCATAGACTTACCAAAACTAGGCAAACACATATAAAAATTAAAAACTCAAATAAATAAGGTTCTTTCTCTCCAAGAATCACACACAAAGATCTCCTTCCATATTTTTAAGCGTGATTAGCAACATTAGATGCAAGACGGAAAGGAAATTTCGTGGATTTGGTAGCAAATAAGATGATGAAATACAAAAATATATATATACAAGATTCCTAAAACCTAAGCAGAAAATGACTTTTTTTCAATGGGTATGGTTGAGATTCATTGTAAACATATAAATGAGTCAATATACAAAATTTGAGGAAGATTGGAGGTGATTTGGACTGATTTAGTTTCAAAATTCGTAGTTAAAATCGAGTTCAAAAAATTCTTCTGCGACACATGTATCAAACACATATCACGCATGTATCTCATACGCAGGTATACATGGATATACATGTGATACACATTTGATACAAATATGATACATGTTTGATACACAAGTGATACACAGTGTGATACACATATTATTTTCTTCATGTTCATCTTCTATTTCGAATTTTCAATTCAAACCACCTCAAAACTCCACCAAATCATTCCAAATGAGATTCAAGGTCCTTAGGATGTACCAAATCTATTTTAATAACACCCACTGAAAAGAAAGCAAAAATTTGACCTTTTTTGGCTACAAATAGCTAATTGGTTAATATTGATAATATTTTAGGAATTGGCCAATTTTTGTAATAAGTTACTTATAAATGAACATAGCTGGTATTTTCCCATCATATAATAATTGGGTGATAGATCCTTTTTTATTACATTCATTGTCATTATTTACATTTATTACATATTCATGCTATCATATTTATTATCAATCATAGTGTATTAAATCCGTTATTTAATGCTCTTGAATACTACTCGTCTCACGAGTATTCTATTTTATTTGGCCTAGAATTTATTAAGTTGAACTAAGACTCGCCCTTTAATTCATCATTAATTGATCTAGTTAAAAGGTTTAGCACTTTTTTGCTCAAACACGTACTATTGAGCAGAATGGGTGTCTTTTTTCTTTAGTAAGAACCCTTTCTATATTAATAATGATTTTAAAGTTAGCCAGGCAATTATATTCTTTCCTAATTATAGTAATAGTCATTTTTTCTGGATTTGACTCCTCTCCATTTCTCATTCTCTCAATCTCTCCAAGTTCTTATTTAGATTTGTGACACTTGTCCTAATAACATATTGACGGTCTAGATTTATTTAACAAACCAACACTCTTAATCATGGGTAATAAGGTTCATATTACCATTATTTTAGGAAATATACTCTAGAACTTTAGTAAGAAATCATTATCTCCAAAAATATTATTAAAGTATTTGCCTAAAAAATGCGGAATCATTGATTTTGTCTGTTGATAAATTTATATGTTTCAACTTCATGTTTGTTCTATGTTAAATGGACGTTCATGGCTTCCATTCAGTTTTTGTTAGTGGAAAAATTAGTTACCTTTGCATTTTTTATGCAATGATGTATAACTGTTAAAAATGTTTACAATAAAAAAGAAAAGAACAAATAGAGACGATAATGTGAAATTTTAGACATATGTGTAAACATATAAATTTTATTAAAATTAAATTCATAAAATAATTTGGATTATATTTTAAATTCAATATATATTGGTCCAAATAAATATTATGGGCTAATATATAAATGAATTAATTATATAAGTCCAATATATATGGATTAAATAAATAAGTCTTAATCCATTGGGCCATCCCATTTAATTGGGCTAAAGTGGTAAGCCCACTTCATTAAGCCCAAGATGACATCTTCCTAAAGGCCCAGTTTGGTGCCACGTGTCAAATGACGTGGTG